AGGCTGGGAAGGGTGGGCTAAGGACTTCCTTCCACCTGGGTTTTCACCAGGATGAGGCTGTTTTGTTGAATGGAAATAAAGCCAAAATGCCCCCCAAGTCTGTGGGCCAGTGCACCTCAGGAGCCCTGGGGGTGGGAGAGAGAGAGTTTATTGGAGTCCGTGGTGGTCTTCATAGAGTATGTGGTGGAAGAGGAGCTGACCAATTTGGGCTGGACTCCTGAAAAGGATTCTTAAGGCTGGGAACTCAGCTCCAGATTGAAAAACTTCTTGTCCACCTCCTTGCCGTCTGTATGGCCCCAACTGGCTGTGTGACCTTAGGTAGGTGGGGCTTCATGATGTTCCCTCGTACCCTGAAGAGTCAGACAAGATGGCCTCTGAGGTCCTTCAGCTATGTGTTCAGTCAGTCCCCTAAACGTATTTCACACCCCAGCTCTGTCCACGAGCCCAGCCCACCCATCCTCCCTGCCTACAGGGCCAGACAGACCCCTCACACGCTGTGGCCCTGGCTGTAGGCCCAGCTCAAAGCGAATTCTGCCACAAAGCCCACTTGTGCTCAACAGGCGGAAGTGACCTCTTCCTCCACTAGGCCCCATAGCCTTTGTCTACCCTCTGCTTTGAGCTGTCAGACAGTAGGGTGCCAGGCTCAGCGCCTGTGCCAGCTTCTCTGGGCTTCATAGGCTTGAACCTCTTTCACCTATCCCTCTTGGCAACCAGCACAGGCCTGGCAGAGTGGATGCCGCAAAAGTGGTAAAGAGTAAATGAATTTTATACCTGAAGAAACCGAGGCCTCAAGTGGTCAAGTGGGAGAGACTAGAGCCTGGATCTCTGGACCCTCTGTCTAACCCTTGCTTAGAGTCTCTCAAACTTGTGTATGAACAGACCTCTCAAAAGGAAAAGCAATTCTCATTGATCCTGTGAGTTCCTAACAGTTCCCAGGTCCATTTTTATGCAACACCAACTTAAAGCACTGAAGTCCTAGTCTATGAAAATGCTTAACTGCAAAGAGTTCTGACTTTATAACTGCTGAAATACTTTAATATCAATGAAATCCAAAGTTTAAAAATATTCAGAGAACTTAGAAACTCTGAGGATAAACACCCTAGTTTAAGAAACACCGTCCTACCTAATAAATTTACAGGAAGGTGTGGATAGCTGATATACCCTTTTCACTGCACCATAGGTCCCAGGGTAATTTACATTTTCACATGTACCCTTGGAAAAGACAATGGATAACTTATCAGGTGGCCCTACAAGGTGAAATGGCAGACCTTGGGTCACCCAGGATAGTGGGAGGCTCTTAGAATCCTTCAAAAGCTCTGTCAAGGACACCAGCTCATGCTTTACTTAGGTTGAGGGTGTGTGTGTGTGTGTAGAGGGGGTGGGGAATGGTGTTGGAAAGGGGAGAGGAGGGAGGGTTCCAGTTAGGGGAAAGTGATGGCTTCCTCAGATTCCCCTTCCACCCTGCCATTCTGTTTCCCAGTCAGTCCTGCTGATGAGGGAGGGCTCTCCCCAGCACTGCATATGGCCCTGCCTCCACCCTCCCCACCCCACCACCTACATATACACATAGATTCTCCCTCCGGGCTGCACTCACATGCCCTCTCTCTGCAGAGATGAGGCTAAGCATTCAGTTCCCACAGAAGACCAGGAGCCCAGGAGACGTGCCTTGTTCTGAGACCTGCTGTGTAACTCGGGCATGTTATCATCTCTGCACCTCCCTTGCTCCATCCATAATGAGAGATTCAGATTAGATGGTTTCAGAGGTCCCTTCCAGCCCTGACCATTCTGTGATGTGTCATTTCTCCTCTTTCATGTTGTGAAAGGCCCTGTGGTGGTGTGGAAGGGGCAGGGGCTTTTGATTCACACAGATCTGAGTGCAGGTTTAGGCTCAAATTCTTTTTAAATGGGTGATCTTAGACAAGGTGCTCAGCCTCTATGAATTTCACTTTCCTCGTCTTTAAATTAAGGACAACACCTTCTTTTACATAGGCTTGCTGTAAGCATTAGAGATAAAAAAGAAAAAAACAGAGTACCTGTTCTGCTCTCAATTAGTGAAAAGCCATGTGTGTGGTGGTTGAAGGATGGACTCCGAAGCACCTAGCCTGAGTTTGAATCCCAGCTTAGCCACTTTCTAGCTGTGTGATGTTGGGTAAGCAACTTACCTCTATGCCTCCATGTCTTCATCTGTGAAATGAGGATAATAATTATACCTATCTCATATAGTTATTACAAGGATAAAATTATTCAATAAATTGAAACACTTAGAGCAATGTCCTACATAATAAGCACTCAAAAATATCAGCTGTATTATTATTAATGGATATGTATATGGAGGGTGGGGTGCTGCCAGCACTCTACATGTACTCCCACCCTCACCTTTGCTAAGCTAAGATTTTGGAGTCCCACTCTCATCCCATCATTCACCCCCCAGCCTATGGCCTCCCAGTTTCCATTTAGCATCGAGAATCTGGTTACCCTTATGTTCCCTGGATCTTTCAAGAAGCTGAACTCATTCCTGTGCCCTCCCAGAAACCTGCCCTCCTCTGCCACATACAGCCCGTTAGCTTGTTCCTGTAACCTCTGTGAAGTCAGGCTTTTCCCAGCAGGTATCTATCTGCTGCTGGCCATGAGACCCTACATAGCCAGCCCTCACTTCAAGCTCCAGGGATATCCATTCCACCTGGGAGCATAGGACTAGGCTCTGCTCCCTTTCTTATCTAGGTCCTGATAGTGTTCACTGACATTCCGTTTTTCTTCAGAGCTGCCCTAAATCTCCACTTCTCGTCCTTGCGGTCATCTTCAGGTCTTCACAAACAATGCTTTCTTTAGCTAAGGGGCCTGGGCTTAGCTATTGAGACTCAGGGATCCAGAAATGAAAACAAAAGTGAAGACCTTTTTTGCCCACTAGATTGGCAAATATGTATATATTTTATGATACCCAGTGGCAAGGATGTGAAAGAATGGGCACACTCATACTTTGATGGAGGGAGTATAAACTGATATAGCCTCTTTGGAGGGAAGTTTAGTTCTACCTATAAGAATTTGAAACAAGCATACCCTTGACCCATAAATGCCACTTCTAGGAATCTATCCTATAGAAATATCTCCATCTGCACATTGATACTCTTACAAAGATGGATATGTACTAAAGTACTGATTGTGACTGTAAAACTTAGGGCACGATATGAATGTTCAGTGGCAGGGGAACAGATTAACAATAAATGGAATATCTATACAAAGGAGTACTACACAACTTTACAAAATTTTATATATATACACACACACGGAAATAGTAAGAGAAAAATGACATGTTGCAGAACATATATGGTTTAATCTCATGGGGGGGGGGCGGGGAGCCCACACTTTCCCCCTCCTCTCAGCTGGGTGGAGACTTCCTGCTAAGTTCAGGCTGGCTCAGGACAGGCTGCATGAAAGGGCTGAAAGCCCAGCCCCTTCCTTCCAGCCAAATGGGTCAGTCCCCAGGATTGCCACACCTGGAGCAGGAAGCACTGCAGAGGCGCTAGGGTCAGGACTCTTGCCCGGTGGAGCACAATGGTAGCAGCCTCCATGCTGAGGCAGACAAACCTGGGTTCAAATCTCTTACCAGCTGAGTGGCCATGAGCAGCGTTCCTCACCACTCTGAGCCTCCATTTCCCCATCTATAAAATGGTATTAATAACACCTACCACACTGCTTGGTGGGAATTAAATGAGACAATGTATAGACAATCTCATTAAATGCCAAGCCCTCTCCTGTCCCTCAATGGTTTCTTTCACTTTGCTTTCAAATTCCTGTAATACAACCTCAGCTGCATCCCTGTTCATCACCCCCTCCATCTTCCCTCTCGTACTGATGTGGTCTCCATGGTGGATTCTGCCCAGGTCCACTCTTATTCCTCACTCATTGGCTACACTGAGGCCTCATCCAACACTGAGTTGAGTTATGGAAGCCCAGTGAAGAGTGCCCCCCCCCACTTCGTCAAAATATCCTCCCCTCCCCCTACTCACCACCTCAAAGTGTCTCCTGTTCCTTCCCACCTGTGCCCAAGCTCCCGCCCCCAGCCTGCTTCAGGCCATGACCCCAACAGTCATCTCCCCCTTTTCTCTTTGGCATCTTCAACCCATCCCTCCCCTCTACCCCAACCTTAGAATTAAGCTCAGGTGAGTCCCCCATAAGACACCCACTTCTCTACCCTGCTCCCTTCCCATCTCCCATCTTCTTTTACTACCCAGCTGCCTCCTCCTCACTGGGACCTTTGTGCAACCTCCTTCCCTCGGCCCCCTCACTTTGACCTCTGGGTAACAGTGGAGGCAGTTAGCCACAGGCCCGTGAAAACGTGCTCCTGGCTTCTGCTGCCTCAAATGCTCTGCGTCTGCCAGGACTCAGCCCCGGCATTCGTCCTCCTCACACCGCGGGCAATGCGTCTCCATTCCACCCTCCGAGAGCAACCTGAAGGCCGGACTTCCAACTCTTTGCTGACAGAGTGACTGAGCTTGGGAAGAAACTTGATCCGCGCTCTCTTTTTCACAGGAGAAAACTGAAGCCCAATAATGTCCCCACTTAACTTCCCCAAGGCCACACAGCGGGTGAGCATTGGAGCCGGGTTGTCTTTTATCAGGGAATCGAAGGCTTCCGGAAGTTTCCGGCTCTCCGGAACTTCTTCCCTTCTACCCTACACCCTTTCTCAGCCCTAAAAAAGCCCGGCCAGGTGCATATTAGCATAAAACGTCCCTAATTAGTCTCCGTTTCCGCCCGGATGGGTCGTGCTCTGCTGCCTGGATCCCAGCCTCTGGCCCCAGCACCCCCATCCCATCCTCCGCCAGGCCTGGGAAGCTCCTGGCACCTGCCCGAGGAGGGGGCGAGAAGCGTTCGCAGAGGGGCCGGGCCCCTGCCCCACCCTGGCCCGGCCCCGCCCCGCCCCGGACGCCCACCTCTACCCCTCGCCGCCCGCTGCTGCGCACGCGGCGCACCCCTCCCGAACTTGGGAGGGTTTGATTGACCTTGGCAAGAGGCAGCAGAACCCTCAAAGGCCTCGGTCCCTCGCGGCTGCTCGGCGCCGGGGCTCCAGTTTCTGCTTCCACCATCTCGGTTTCTCGCCTCACCAGGCAGGGCTCGGGGGAGGGGTACTGGGTGGAGCCCAGTCCGACCCCCAGCAGCAGCGCTCGGCTGCCGGAGACGCGATCTGATGAGAATGTCTTCCTGCAAATTAAGCCTTCTCAGGACTCTCCATCCGGTGCCGGCAGCAAGCCCGGTGTGCGGGGAGCCAGACCTGGGGGGGCGGGCGCAGCAGCAGCAGCAGAAAGGGCTCAGCATCCCACCCACCATCCCGGCCCCCTCCCGCCTGCACCAAGGGTCGGCCGGCTAGGGGTCGAAGTGGAGCCCACCTACCGCTGCCTCCCAGAAAGAACCCCAGCTGCGCCCCTCTCTGCCCCGTTCGGGCTGCTGAAGGGGTCCGACAACCTCTCCCTCTTCTAACCGTTACCCGCGGAGAGACACCCTCCTAACTAAGCTCCAGAGGCGAGACCCTTAGGTTCCAGTCCCGCTTCGCCGAGACAGCTGTGGTATTTGGACAGTTGCTTCTCCGTTTGCCCAGGTGTAAAACAGGGGCAATGTTTTCGTTTGGTTCTCGTGAGGATTCACGACCAAGTATGCGAAGCACCCGCCGCAGTGCCCAGTACACAGTGAGCCGAGGGTCCTACGTAGTGTCAACCCAAGGGCTTCAGGAACTCGGGGAATCTCCTCCCACCCCCATTGTTTGCAAACATTACTTACCTGCGATTTTCCGTGAAGGGCATCTGAAGCCTTCACTCCTATGGAAGCATCTGTAAGGGGTGGGGAAGTTTTCAAGTGTATTTGGGAGAGGAAGAGGTAGAATTTTGGAACAGGGCGCTATCCTGGAAAAATCATAGACTCCTAAGATTTTCTCCAGGGAAACAAAAAGCAAATGCCGTAGTGGAAGAATGTCACCTTGCACTGACTGAGGTCGTTTAGGCAATAACTTACTACCCCCATTTTATAGATGAGGAAACTGAGGTTAAGTGATTCCCCTAGGATTACAGAATTCTTTAAAAAGCAGTTCCAAGTTGAACCCAGCTCTTCTCATTCCAAATCCTGTGCCTTTTAGCTACTCTGTACTGCCTTTGGACATGACTGTTTTATGCTATTTATAGTTTCTGCACTTATTTTTTTTTTCTTAGTATAGGTGACTTTTTTTTAAAAAGACTCCAGCCTGTTTTAACTGTGCTGAAGGAAGACAAAGATGAAAATGTGTGTCTGCACTTGCATCTGGGTTCAAAATACCAGGCAGGGTGTTGGGGTAGGCGGAATGGCAGGGAAGGTGAGATTCCAGGAGCTGGGATGTCAGGGCACTTAGGGAAACCCCTGGGGGTCCTCTCTGGCTCTAAGCTCGAAGAGATGGTGCCTTTAATACAGGTCTCGCACACCTTCACAGTGGGGATCAGGGCAGTTTGCAAGTGTCCAGCCCAGTTCTGCCATCGGAAAGCTGCTTGGCCCAGAGGTGGCCCAGCACTGGGCCTATTCCCCTTGGGGGTATCTGCCTGGCAGCTAGGGCAGGACTCACCTCTGGTAGGACAGACAGAGAGGCATTCAGAGGTTGAGACAGGGAGAGACAAAGGTGGGGAGGAAGCACTAGAATGAGAGGGAGAGACAGGAACCCAGAGTGGGAACAAGGGAGCTATTCAGAGCGAGAAAGAGAGGGGAGGCCGCATGGGGGAGAGAGAAAAGACAGAGAAAGAGGGGAGAAAAGGGAGACGGACCGACAGGCAAGGGGGTAGCGGGCAAGAAAGGGAGGAGACAGAAAGAGCAGAGGGGGAGAGGGGAGTGAGACAGATGGGCAGGAGACACAAAGGAGAGAGTTGATATAAAGGGAGAAAGAGGAGAGGGAGAGGGAGAGAGAACAAAACAACGAAGAGGAGAGAAGAAAGGAAGGAGAGGAGAAGGAGGGAGGGAGGGAGAGGGAGAGCCGAGAGAACCAGGGGGAGGAAGCGGCGAGGCAGCGAAAAGAGTTGGGAGAGGGAGAGGAACAGGGAGAGAGGGGGCGCGACGCGGAGGGCCGCGGGGCCGGCGGCTGGGACCGTGTGCTAAGCCTGTTCGTTCTCTTTTTTGGGGTGGGCGGCGGATCTCCGCCGAGATAACCCAGCCAAGCCCCCTGCCCCGCGTCCCAGCGAGGGGCCGCAGCTGTATAAATACCGGGGGTGGGGGAGCGGGGCTGCTGCCCAGGGGTCAGCGACACCGGAGAAGGCTTTGCTGTCATTAGCTAATTGAGCCCCAGATGTTAAGAAAAGGTTACGTCCTCCTCCGGAGAGTTTTTCTTTTTAAACACTTTACACAGATTCCCCGGCCAAAATGGCCAGGAGGCACCGGGGCCAGCACCCACCCCCGCCCCTAGCCCTCCCCTCTCGCCCCG